AATGTTTTGGTATTTTCTATCTTGGATAATTTCTTCTCCCTGAATAAATTCTTTTCGTGTGATGGCGAGTCTTGCACTTAATTCCGACGCTATTGAAACCTGGTTATGGAATCCAATCTATTTAAGTTCTTTACAACTTTCACATGTGCGAAGTCTAGTCTTGCATGCACGATTTTCACACCTCCAATATACTGTAGTCCATTGATTATTATATTTATTTTCGTCAATATACAATTTTATCTTTGTCTATAGACAATTTCCTTGATCTATAACTTTGTTTCTATAACTTTCTCAGAAATGGTGAACTTGCAGGCTGCTATATAATTTACTAAGCACTAGCTTAGTTTTGACACAAGTTCACAAGTATATGAGGCACTCAGTGAATATCAAGTTCATTGCTAATAATCTACAAGTCCAGATTGCTAGCCATTACGGTACAAAGAGGTGCCCTCGAAGGTGGTGGTGTTGAAGCAAAGATTATTGCTAAAACCATTAAGCGTAAACCATAGACACTTGAGACGAACTGTCTTCTCGTCTAAATGCCTTCATGACATATCGACCGGCGACGAATTGCTTTAGCATGGTATTTTATGCCTCAAGCATATTACTTTTTTTTTTTTAGAAAACGTAATAGCCATTCGCTTTTACTCAGCCACGTATGATACAAGGTCATATATCGTTTTAGAGTTCTCGTTAAGATATGAAGTCATAAAAACGTGTGGCAATTTTTACTGGGTGAGAAGTATTCATATTAAGACGCAGGAGCTATAAACAATAACAACAACAACAATAATAAATATTAAAATACATGAATATTGAAAATGGAAAGCGATAAAAAATTAAACCCCTTTTTATTGTTTTTATCGAAAGGAATTTAAAAATAAACGAAAAATTTTTTTGTCTGATGGAAAGAAGAAGCATTTTTGGGAGGTGGGAATCAACGCGGTTACTGTAGCGAAAAAATTGGCTGTCAGTGTCAATCTGATTTCAGTTCTACAATAAGATCAGTAGACAGAAGAAATCAATGAAGTCCATCAACTTTTCCCCGTCACTTTTGTCTTTTTTTACCGCCTATTTCCTTGATTTTTTTCTGTCTTTTCAATTTAGAAAACTTCAGTTTCTTTCTTTCTTTCTTTCTTTCTTTCTTTCTTTCTTTCTTTCTTTGACTTCATCAATCCATACCCCGCCTTTTCTTTCTTTCTTTCTTTCTTTCTTTCTTTCTTTCTTTCTTTCTTTGACTTCATCAATCCATACCCCGCCTTTTCTTTCTTTCTTTCTTTCTTTCTTTCTTTCTTTCTTTCTTTCTTTCTTTCTTTCTTTCTACTTAACTTATTTTCCATTCTTTTTCAGCTTTTTTCTTGTTTTCTTTCAGTTTCGTTTACTTAATCTTTTTTGTTTATTTTCCTCTCTTTAAAGGTTTTTCTCTTTTTCCTTTTGACTAGTTTTCTTTCCTTTTAACTCATTTTTCCTTTTATTCATTTTTACTCTTTTTTATTTTTTTTCTCTTTTTTCAACATTGTTTTTACCTTTTAGCGCCTTCCTCATTTTCTTTCTTTCTTTCTTTCTGTTAAATGTACTCTTTCAATATCACTGATAATTTTAAATTTACGTTTTTCTCACCATATTTTTCTATCATGAATTATTTTTATTTCTCGAGTTCCTTCTTTAAGGATTTGAACATTATTATATCTATCTATCTATCTATCTATCTATCTATCTATCTATCTTTCTATCTATCTATCTATCTATCTATCTATATCTCAGTCTTTGCATATCTATCTAGCTATCTATCTATCTATCTATCTCAGTCTTTGCATATCTATCTATCTATCTACCTATCTGAGTATGTTCATATCTCTATCGCACTCTATTCATATCTATCTATCTATCTATCTATCTATCTATCTATCTATCTATCTATCTATCTATCTATCTATCTCAGTCTTTGCATATCTATCTATCTATCTATCTATCTATCTATCTATCTATCTGAGTATGTTCATATTTCTATCGCACTCTATTCCTATCTATCTATCTATCTATCTATCCATCTATCTATCTATCTATCTGAGTATGTTCATATTTCTATCGCACTCTATTCATATCTATCCATCTATCTATCTATCTATCTATCTATCTATCTATCATCTCCATCTATCTATCTATCTATCTATCTATCTATCTATCTCAGTCTTTGCATATCTATCTATCCATCTATCCATCATATCTATATCTCATCGCATATATTATCATATCTATCTATCTATCTATCTATCTATCTATCTATCTCAGTCTATTCATATCTATCTATCTATCTATCTATCTATCTATCTATCTATCTCAGTCTTTGCATATCTATCTATCTATCTATCTATCTATCTGAGTATGTTCATATCTCTATCGCACTCTATTCATATCTATCTATCTATCTATCTATCTATCTATCTATCTATCTATCTATCTATCTATCTCAGTCTTAGCATATCTATCTATCTATCTATCTATCTATCTATCTATCTATCTATCTATCTATCTATCTATCTGAGTATGTTCATATCTCTATCGCACTCTATTCATATCTATCTATCTATCTATCTATCTATCTATCTATCTATCTATCTATCTATCTCAGTCTTTGCATATCTATCTATCTATCTATCTATCTATGTTCATATCTCTATCGCACTCTATTCATATCTATCTATCTATCTATCTATCTATCTATCTATCTATCTATCTATCTCAGTCTTTGCATATCTATCTATCTATCTATCTATCTATCTATCTATCTTAATCAAGTTCTTGGTTCATTTTTAAAATATCTTTTTCCGTTGTTTGTATTTTTTCTTCTTTTCCTATGCTTCTTTCTTCATTCTCTTCCTCTCTGACCTTCAATATCGTTTTCTTCTTTTCTCCTCTTATTCATGACCACTCTCTCATTTAACCTCCCACCACCCTACCTTCCCTCCCACCCTCCCACCTTCTCCTTTTGATTTCTCCTTCACACTAACTCCTCTTTCCAATTTTCCCTTTACTTTTAAAAGATGAATGGTGCACTGTTTGCAAACTGCAACCAAGCGATCGGACCTGCTTATCTTACTGCTCTCTACTTATCTTGATAGATCGCGCCATTGAACCGAATAAAGTGTTATCTACTTGCGCTGAGCGTGTCGTCTGACATGTGATGAAAACTTGGCAGACATCTTTCGATAATCGTTCGTTCTGCTGGGTCGGTTGAGCAGTCGGCTGGAGTATAATGGCGGCTAACATGGTTACGGTAATATTAGAGGTCATAGTAGAAGCTGGGTGTTAACAAAGCGGCGGAGAGGTGCTTGTTTGAACTGATCACTTGGAGCAAGGAGCGTTTTTTTTATATCGAACAATCGTTATATATTTTACCAGTACCAAGACTGATTGCTGAGGACACTGGGGTATAAAACACGATGTCCACGTTAATTTGAATAAAAGAAAAAGTTTGCCGCTTGAAATTGGGAGAATAATTTTCTTTACTTAATTTGGCTTAATCTGGCACAAGGTCAGAAATGTAGAGGGCAATGTGAATCAAACTTACCATTGGTAGACGCCTATTAAGAAATTCATTAGGTACAGCCTTGTACAGCACAAAACTAAAATGAGAAATTAATTTGTGAAATCTTTCAAGTATCTGTTTGCCTTAAAAATAAGCATTGAAAACCCTGAGTGACACCCCCGACCTCTACCAACAGCGCTTTCGACTATACTTTTAGCCATTATCTAGCATGATTTTATTTTTACTTTTTAACTGAATGTATGGGTTGTGTGTATGGATCTAGACATATAGGATTGTTTTATTTTCCAAACACGGTCATCGATCGCAAATGCCGAACATCTGGACAGTTTTTACACACTTTGTGTCCATAAAAGAAAACATTTGTACGAACACAAGAAAAATTAATTAAAAAGCTTGATCGCAGTACCTTGTTAGTCGTTTTAAACGAAACTTGTATAAATGAGGGATTGCTACCTAAATACACAATATAATATATATATTACTGAAAAACGTAAGAACGCTGAAAAACTAAATAAAAAAAATTAATTAGAATTTCCTAGTCTGCCATATTTAACGAAAGATGATTTAAAGAAGGCTTACTGCCCAAATGTACATTAATACATTATATATTATATTATACATATATATTTCAAAAATAAAATTTTTTATGAACGCTATATTTTTAAAAAAATAAATAAATGAATAAGCGCACGACGCGAGGTGTTGTAGAATGTGAGGAAAAGGAGGAGGAGGAGGGGGAAAATCATGTGTCTTGGAATTGTATCGGGGATTAAATGAAATATACTTTCTTTTTAACCCACTTCAAATGAACTCAAAATAAACTTTTTAGCATGAATACAACGGGACATAATTTCCGATCTCTGGTTTAAAACTTTATTTTTGTCTGGAAATGTTATTATAGCTAATTTCTTTTATGAGTGTTCATAGCAATAGCTGCAACCTTTGTCAATAAGAGAAATTAGCTGTCTGCTAAAGAATGCTTGTTCTCTATGTGTCGTGTTAGACAATTTTTCTCACTCGAATCTATTTTGCAGATTTACACGTTTACCATTCGTCTATGCTTTGAATATTGCTGTCACATAAAGTCTGTTGCTACTGCTATATATTTAGATATCCTTGATAAAATTTAAAGAATTTGCAGTGTCATCTCCGTTTCTTTGATCTTCAAAAATTTAAATGCAATATCAATCGTTATCTCTGTCTTCTTAATATCAGGCCTTTTATTGTCCTCACTCATTAATAATGTTTTTCTTATATCCTTTCACTTTCAGTAACCTCTGCGTGTTACTTGGTTTGTTACCTTGCTGGGAGTGAAATGATTAAAATCTATCTATCTATCTATCTATCTATCTATCTATCTATCTATCTATCTATCTATCATTAAGTGCCGGTGCTGTTAATAAGAAATATACTTTTGAAAATGTAAATAAACATTTTTAATTGGCGATGAATGCAACGGAATGGTAAATATATAAGACAATTTCGAAAACTTTTACCTTGATGTTTCGTATTTATGTCATTAGAATAAGAATTTTATTTTACAAGAACAAGATATACATTAGCGAGCCGAAACGTCGTCATGTATCTATCTCATTCTTTGCATATCTATCTATCTATCTATCTATCTATCTATCTATATCTATTATCTATCTATCTATCTATCTATTCTATCTATCTATCTATCTATCTATCTATCTATCTATGTCTATTCATATCTATCTATCTATCTATCTATCTATCTATCTATCTATCTATCTGAGTATGTTCATATCTCTTATCTATCTATCTATCTAAGCATGTTCATATCTCTATCGCACTCTATTCATATCTATCTATCTATCTATCTATCTATCTATCTATCTATCTATCTATCTAAGTATGTTCATATCTCTATCGCACTCTATTCATATCTATCTATCTATCTATCTATGTCTATTCATATCTATCTATCTATCTATCTATCTATCTATCTAAGTATGTTCATATCTCTATCGCACTCTATTCATATCTATCTATCTATCTATCTATCTATCTATCTATCTATCTATCTATGTCTATTCATATCTATCTATCTATCTATCTATCTATCTATCTATCTATCTATCTAAGTATGTTCATATCTCTATCGCACTCTATTCATATCTATCTATCTATCTATCTATCTATCTATCTATCTATCTATCTATGTCTATTCATATCTATCTATCTATCTATCTATCTATCTATCTATCTATCTATCTATCTATCTATCTATCAAGCTGGAGCTGCGAGACATGTGGTTGTATCCTACAGTCAAAAGATGGGTATGTTAATCATCTGAAATCACATGAGAGATGACCTCACTCTGTGCTACCTCCACAACCCAGTGATACTGCGTGTGATCTGCAGGGAAGCACGTGAATCGATATCTGGATTGAAGAGGCATATGGTGTTGCACAAGGATGCCCTACCGCAGCAACATCCGCTTAACCCTGTTAAAACTCTGGAGCACATTTTTGTCATCTATGCTGTAGGCCTTGCAAATCAGCTGCTGGTTGGAAGAGCCACCTTCGAAGTCATTCGGGAGGAAAGAATGATCTTGATTGAATGTAGGAGTTGATGGGCAATACGGCAGTGATCAGTGAAGATGGGACAATCAACATCTATCTATCTATCTATCTATTTATCTATCTATCTATTGGCAGAAGATAGGGACGAATATCTTCACACTGAACGGACGGAATTACCTAGTATCAATCGACTATTTTTCACGCATCATAGTAATAGCCCGTTTCGATCCACTTACCAGCGCCAATGTAATTGGAAATTAAAAAAATATGTTTGGCAGATGGGAGATCCCAAGTGAAGTGATCAGTGACAATGGAACTCAGTTCACAAGCACAGGCTTCATTGACTTTGCATCCAAATACGGATTTACACACAGCACTGTAACTCCCCACTTTCCTCAAGCGAATGGAGCAGCAGAAAGTGGAGTTAAAATCTCAAAAGGTCTCCTACAACCACCAGATACTTCCCTGGCTCTAATGGCATACCGTAGTACACCGATATCGGCTACAAAAGCAAGTCCCGCGTAGTTGATCATTGTTAGGAAAATAAAGACGGTACTACCAAGCCACCCAAACAGACTAAATCCGAAATAGTCTGACTTAGAAAGAGTTAGGAGGCAGATTCTTCAGCGAAAAGTCGGATGAAAACACGAAAGGCACACAAAATAGGTGATCGGTTGAGAGTAAAAACCAATCATGAAAAATATTGGAGCACTGCAGGGAGGGATCGTCACAACAGCAGATCACAAGAATATGAGTTACAGCATCCAAACAAGTTCTGGAATCATCTGTCGTAACAGGCGATATATTCGAAATGTTTGGTGATGAATGAGGGTACCAAATGGAAAGCAAGACTCCCACCGACAGAATTTCAATTTCATAAAAATTCACGAAGGAAACAGAAATGAGAATTCTAACAGAAAGGATTCAAATAGAAACGACACAAATAGTCTAAGAATAACAGGAGAAGTCGTGTCGTCCGTAGACCAAAATACCTAAGTGACTACGTAAATAAAAAAAAAAGTAAAGTAAAATAGGCTAAAAGTATTTATAAGTTCTATTGGTAAGTACACTTTTTCAACTAGGAACATAAAAATGACTGAAAAAAACGAAACAAAATAAAATAAAAAATAGAAATAAAAAAGATAAAATTAAAAAAATATAAAAAAGAAGATAAAAAATAAATAATATAATTAAATTACAAAAATAAAGAAACAAACTAATAAATATTCCCAGGAAAGGTGATGTCATATAATCAGTGATGGTGTGTCATTACTGATCATTGTTACATTCGGGTATCACTAGTTGGGTGTCCTTGTCTTATTATTGTTGTTGTATTATTTACTTGGTAATAAATGGCTAAGCCCAACGGACGTGTTCCCGTGTCGTGAGTGAGAAAGCCCTAAATGTAAGAACCCAACTAAAAATATAGAAAATCTATCTATCTATCTATCTATCTATCTATCTATCTATCTATCTATCTGAGTATGTTCATACCTCTATCGCACTCTATTCATATCTATCTATCTATCTATCTATCTATCTATCTATCTATCTGAATATGTTCATATCTCTATCGCACTCTATTCATGTCTATCTATCTATCTATGCTCATATCTCTCTCGCTCCTTCTGTGTGTGTGCGTGTGTATGTGAGTGGTGAAGTTAATCTACTATGGATTTTGGAATAACTTACTAGTAAGAGACAGTAAGTTTTAAATATACTTTCGTTCACTACAATATATACACATACCCACAGATTGATTTAATAAGATAACGAAACTGTCAACTTATATATCTGTCCCTTTCTCTGAGAGACAGTTCTCTTCGAAAACCATTCTTAATGCGACATTAAAATACACAAACAAAAATTCAAATATACCTGTAGTTATTGAAGGATCAATGGACACACCAAGATGACAAAACCAATTATTCTCAGATTTTGATGTTTAATTCATATGATCCTCGGAAAATTGTCAAATTTATTTTGCCTTCTCAGAAATGTAAATATGCCAGATTAACGTGAAAATGTTCATTCATTCTACTGGTTATGCACGCATTAACACAGCAACTTCTGATAAAACAGAATAATAAGCAATAATCATGGTTGTATTTTAACATAGACAGCAATGAAGCGTTTATCTGCGTTCTCTGAAATGAGGAATCGACGAGCCGATTTCAAATCCCGTTTTCACCAGCTGCGTTTGGGGAAGGCACGAACTCATTTCTTTTCTATTCAGTCTATGGGTTAAATAACATGGTGGACCGGCCTTTCCAGCATTAAGCGTCAACCAGTCGAGGAGAAGGACAACTCGGAGTTACAAACTATTAATAAGTTAACGGGAAACCCCTCCAGTAATTTTTCCATACTTGTTACATTGTGGCATAACTAAATTGCGGTGATATACCCACAATAATGCGCCATGATACAGCACCAGATTTGGGTGGTGGGGGGTTAGTGCTAAGCCATGTACGCTTGAACGAACTGGGCGACAGCTTTTGAAGAGAAAGAAACACACTAACCTTTACTATATAAATATATTTAATATCTAAATAGACAACTAAAGTAAAAAGAGACTTAGTTTAGAGGAAAATGAGTTTGGGTGTCTTACAACTTCTTGATGAAGAAGAGTTCCCTTTAATTCTGTAGAAAAATCACGTGGTAGAGATAAACACTCAGTTGTGGAGCAAGCTAAGTGAATAATAATCCAACCTTTAGAAAGAGAGCTATTTATGTTGCCATGGAGCATCTCATTGTGCTAAAGTGGGATAGTCCATTGCTTGGGCTGTGATTGGCTGCTGGTACCTGAGTGGAGGTATTTCTATATAAATACCAGCTTGATTCATCAGTTAGTTTGCAGGGTTTGTATTAAGTTACAACTTGCTTTATTTTTGTCTGCCAGCTGGACGCTAGCTGGAACCTTTACAACGGTAAGTGCTGTTTATTATTGTTATTCTACAAATTCCACGGATAGTTTCTTTAGATAGGAGTAATTTCTCTTATTGTTGCCGTTCTTCTGCAAATTGATTCCGTTAACTAGGGCTTGTGGTAAAGAGTTCGGAATGGTGGCGATAGAAAGAAGATGGGTCTTTGAATTTAGCACAGCACAGCGAGGAGTTTGTGTGACCCTTACAGGGTTGGTCATTAGTCCTTTCATGACCATTCAGCATCCTCATTTCATTCTGTGCTTGATTAATCGTAGTTTTTGATTCGTTATGTGTGTTGTGGTGTAATGGATATCGACTTGGAGAGCCGAGTTCGAATTCCAGTGGAGTTAGATTTAGTTACGCACAAATACCCTTGGGAAAAGTATGAATACATTTCTCCCCTATATGTTAAATAGCAAGACAGACTGGGTTCTTTAGCTTTGGTTGGCAACCATTCTACCACATAAAGAAAAAAATCTGCCTCGTCAGTCATGTATCGAAAAATACCTGATCGCCCAAGCGTGTATCACGCGTGACACTTAACTGACTGACTGACTATTCTAAATTCTGATATAACAAATGAAATTCTGATCCATATCGTCGGCACCCTCTCGCATCGGGATCGTCATCCTCTCTCTCCTTATTCCCTTTCTTCCCTTTTTTGGTGGCGGTGACGGAGATGGCTTTGAATACCCAGCCTACTCCTGAAGAGTCGTAAGTGTTGGTGATAGACGCGGCTGGAAGAGTCGGTCCCTCCTGCTTAGCGCGTGGCAGATCCTCTTCATTTTGACGGTTGAACTCAAAAGTCTCCCTCCCTGCCTCGGATAGTCCGACGATATTAAGGCCAATTGGCAGCAATAATTTTCAAGGTCTCAGAGAACCTTACCTTAATCTGAAAAGAAAAAATGGATTTAAACAAACAATAGACTTTTAATTCCAATAAGAAATCATTACTCTCGAATATTCGAAATAATTTTTTTGAATATAATGAATTCGCTTCTAGTTTTCTAAAGGGCAGTTGTTTAGGTTTGGTTTGGTTTAGTCTGGGTTATTTAATGCTGAGAAGAGTTTTAGGATAGGTCAGTATGAATAGAATATGTATTTTTGTAAGAAATTAGTTTGTAGATCAAATTCCATTGACGTACTTTTGCAAAGAGGGATTTTTGTCGAGAGTCCAATGTATTGCTGGTAATTTTTTTCCAAAAATGTATTGCTGGTATTCTTACTATAAAAATATTTTTTTATACTTACATAGTGTTTTGACCGCAGTTTGAGAGGTTAACTACTTGCTCATAGCTGGGACCATAACAGGTGCTACCACACGGGGCCAGGGTGGACCTGGGAACAACAGCAATTAAGTGGAAGTTCCACGCTCCTCAAAACTTCCCGATCAGAGACCTTGTTGCCGGATGAAGTTTATCGTCATACCCAGGACACGACACTTGTTTATAAAACCTGTACGTATTCAATAAATATGAAAAAAACATTCATTCACTCTAAGCGTTAGACACGAAGTGACACATAAAATTCTTTCAGGAAAGATAATAAAGAAAGAACCATGGTTGCCTTCTCAGTATGCAAACTGAATCGTTATCTTCGATTTTCCGAGTAAATTTATGCCGATTCCGCGATACACCCGGTTAATCCTATTCACTTTCTGGGCGAATTGAATATTTATATCAGTTTCTTTATCGCTTCTCCCATGACAAATGCTTAGGCGTGCTATATTCCTTTGTTTCATTAGTTAAGATCTTTACAACTAGGACTCGCCAAACCACGTACACAGGATCGAATACTCCGTGTTCGCTTCGTATTCCATTCGTAAGAAGAGGTTCTAATCAGCGATCGGTCCTTGAACTACCGCCGTAAATATTTAATCGATCGAGTCTTTTTGTAGCACCCTAAAATCTCAATCAATATATTCGGAAGCGTAACCCGGGTTATTGATCAAATGAAGTCCAATCGCTGACTCACAAGCCGATTGAGTCAAGAAGAAGAAGAAGAAGAAGAAAGCAAGGTTATTGTCAATGTATCGCTGGGGTGTTAAATGAAATGTAATTTTTTTTTTATTCAGCCTCATATGTGCTTAAGAGGAATTTTTAGTATGTATACAAGGACTCAGGACTTCGAATTTCTGGTTTAAAAGGTTCTTTGGATCCGGAAATGTCATTATTGCTAATTTTTCCTGTTGGCAGAAGTTGCAAATATTATTGTGGTTTTTATATGTCTTTGCCCTTTTAAAAATTGTCCAATTGCTGTATTTTTCTTTTAAATTCCACACATGTTTGGCTAGTTTGGTTGAATGACGACTGATAATTGTATCATCGACATTTGTCAGTACCTTCAGTACATTCTATATATGTTTTATTCTGTCCATTAATATCGGCTACTTCTGCTTTATAGATTATTGCTTCTGATTTCCAAGCTCCATCTAATGAACATCTATTTTAATTTCTACAGTTGAATAAATTACAAGTGCTGACTATATTTCGCTGCGCATTAGTTTAAAAATTTCTGGCGTTTGTCGATTTATTATGTTTTTGTAAATTACTAGTGCAGCTGTAGCTTAATTTAACTATGTTTTTATTGAATATGTAATTCATATATATATATATATATATATATATATATATATATATATATATGCTTATATTTCGGCAGCGTATTTTCATTAAGACAGGTTTCGTTGAATAATTTTGACATGTTCTGTCTACTTATTCTCCATAGGATCCTTTCATATTCACGGATAAGCTTTTTTGTGTGATTATTGAAGGACGAGAGGAAAACGCTGTGTTGATTCATATTTTATTTATTATCTGAGTACTTTCGACATAGCATAATATCGTCATCATAGTATTGTTAATTATGTAAGTGTGTGGTGTTCATGTTTGTGGAAGACAAAAATTGTTGTGATCATCTGAAAATTAACTTTCTTATATGTGGAGTCAGGAACGCTGCGTCATACCGTGGCTAACAAGTAACGTTTAAGGGGAGGTAACTAGGTATGTATTGGAAAGATTTTTGACATGAGTAGTCGAAAAATGAAGGAAGAACTATTAGTGTAAACATTGACATTTAAAAACTATCAATTATACACATTTTAAAATGTTTGTGGAGTATTCATCATTAATTTTATTAAGGTTTGGTTTCGATTTTTTGATATAAATAGCTTCGAGAATTTTTAATTTGTGTTTATTCTTTTCGTGGAAAAGTATGGAGATATTTTCGACGAAGATTTTCCTGATTTGCGAATGTGGACGGGTATGTTGCTGTAAATATTTGGAAATATTAGACGTGTCATTCAAATGAAGACTTAGCCTCCGTGAAAGCGTTGTTGTCGTGTGTCCAACATAAATGTTATTTTTATCGTTGGAGAAATAATCTCCCAGAGAACATTTAAATTTATAAACAATGTTGGATTTCTGCAACACGTTAGTGACTGAGGAAGAGTCATTATGAATGATTTTATTAGATATAGTGGATTTAGTGTAGTATATAATTAATTTTACATTTATTGGGATCTGTGGTGGATGTATTAATTTTTATCAATTTTTTAAGGATATTTTCGTCTTGTTTATAGATAGCGTGCATTTGGTTACGATATAAAAGGTTGATATGTTTGGGGTTAGTTGGAGGGGTATTATGTTCTATTTATTTTGTGTAAACATCTCTGATGGAGTATCTTATTTGTTCATCGACGATATAATTAGAGAAGTTATTATTGATAAGTGTTTATTTTATATTTTTTAGTTCACTGTAGAAAATCTGTTGTGGAAGAATTTTTGAATGTTTTTTTTTATAATTGCTATTTTATAGTAATTTGGGCATTCACTCTTATAGTTAAGAATACAGGAATTTTTACAGGTGTTTTTTTATATGGGGAGATAGTGAACTTATTGTTATTAGTGTTTATCAGTAAATCGAGGAAGGGAATTTAGTTGCTATTATTAAGTTCGAAAGTAAACTTAAAGACGGAGTTGTCCTGGAATTGTTTTTGGAATTTTTTTATCTCTTCAGTAAACTTGACAAATAAAAGGATGACGTCAACGTATCTTAGGTAGATGGAGTTTTTTTTTAAGTTGATAAAAATATTATTCTCAAGGTCAGAAATGTAGAAATTGCTAAAAGTCAGACAAAGAACTGAACGCGTGGAGACGCCATCGCGTTGTATATATATGTTATTTTTGTGATCGTATAATGGGACTTCGGTGGTGCAGATTAGCAGAAGTATCCGTAATATATTAGGAATAATTTTAAGTGGAGGTATAGAAGCATTATTGTATATGTTTAATGCCATCACCCCCTTAAACGTTGCTTGTTAGCCACGGCATGACACAGCGTTCCTGATTCCACATATAAGCAAGTTAATTTTCAGATGATCACAACAATTTTTGTCTTTCACAACCATGAACACCACACATTTAGCAATATACCGATGATGAGATTATGCTATGTCTAAAGTACTCGGATAATAAACAAAATATAAATCAACCTCTAGTCCATCAATAATCACACAAAAAGCTTATCCGTGAACATGAAAGGATCCTATGGAGAATAAGTAGACAGAATATGTCCAAATTATTGAACGAAACCTGTCAAGGCGGTTGCTATTCTATATCTATCTATCTATCTATCTATCTATCTATCTATCTATCTATATATATATATATATATATATATATATATCACTGATGATTTTTATATAGAAATGTCTAAAAATCAGTGCGAGAGTTCATTGCTAAAATATATATATATATTTTTTCAATCATTTCAAGGCAATAAAATCACTAAGACGCAAGGGTTTAATGAGAGTGAAAGGAACTCAGTTAACCTTATTGTGGAGAGGAGACAATAAAAGACCAGCATTCAAAGGAGAATGTTGATGACGATTGACGTTTCATTCAACTTGAGTTTTGAATGATTTTCATCCAATAAAAGTGATTCCAGAATATTTCTGATTCCGAATTATGTTTTTCCGTTATATTTTGTACATTAACACGAATGCTTTTCGGGATCACTTTTATAGTAAACACGTTTATCTTTGTATGTGAGAGGGGGATATTGTAATAATAAGCATAGCTCTGTATTTATGGGCGTGTAAGATTAAATCTGTCACAGTGGGAAGGTCAGGAATGCCTGTGTCTCAAATCAGTCAATCAAGTTCTTGCGATTTGATTGATTTTTCAATTCTATTTGTTTTTCGCTTTTATAAAAGATCCTCCGAAATTAAACAAGTTTGTTGAATTAAGAGGCGCCAGGTTTTCTTCTTGAACTAATTTCTATTTATATTCCTCTTCCCACATTCTTTCTCTCATTTCCACCCCTCTCCTTTCCTTTTCATCTTTCCTCTGTTTTCTCTTTGCCCACACCCTTGTCTTTCTCTCTATTACTTCAATCATTTCATTACTTCCTCGCTCTTTCCGTTCTTGCTCTCCCTCTTTGTATCTCTTTGCCTCTGCCATTTTCTTCTCTTCTCCTGGTTTTCCTCTCTTTTCTTTTCTTCTTACTTCTCTCATTCCACTTCCTAGTCTTCCTCTTGCCTTTCCTTATCTCCCCTTTTTACCTCTCTTCTCCATTCAGCTATTTTGTCGTTGTCCTCTTCTCTTTTCCTTCTTTTCTCTATCACTTTTGCCTTTACCAATCTCTCTCGTTGCCTTTTCCTTTTCATCTCTCCGTTCTCTTCGTTCTCCTTTCTCTTCCTCTTCTTATTTCTTCCTTTCTTTTGCTTTTTTCTATTTCTCTCTTTCCTCTCTCTTCTTTCTCTTTTTTCCTTTTCTCTCTACCTTCTATTGTCTCTCTCGAATTCACATTCTGTTCTCACCCATCTCTATGTCAAACATTTTCTTTCTTTCTCTCTCTCCACCACTGACTCTCTCACTCTGCCGGGTCTCTTACACTTTTCCTTCTCCGTTATTCATATTCTCTCTTCACCTTCACTTCATCTCTTGTCGCTCTCTTTCTCAACATCATCACTCCTTTCAGTGAACTCTCTTTCTCTTCACACAATCTCTATTGATTTAACTCTCTCTTCGCTATCATTCTGTCGAATTAATCCCTCTCTCTCTCATCTTTCTGTCGGATTCCTTTACATTTTATTCTTCTCTTTCTCTCCCTCTCACATCTCTGTCAAACTCTTTTATACTTTATTCTCCCTCCTCTCTCTATCGAAATTACGCTCTTTAACTATCTTTCTTCATATAAATCCATCTTATTCTCTATCTTACCTCGGTTCTTTTTTTCTTTTTTTTTTCTATTTCCCTCTCTCTATATTTGAATAACTTTGACTTTTCTTCTGTACTTTCTCGTAGTGTATCACTTTTTATTTTCCCTCGTTTTCTGCTTTGATACAGTTCTCTCTTGAACTCATTAACTTTCTTTCTTTCTTTCTTTCTTTCTTTCTTTGGTCTTTCCAGTTACGTTCCTTTATTTTATTTGATTTTTCTTTCTTTCTTTCTTTCTTTCTTTCTTTCTTTCTTTGATCTTTCCAGTTACGTTCCTTTATTTTATTTGATTGTTCTTTCTTTCTTTCTTTCTTTCTTTCTTTGGTCTTTCCAGTTACGTTACTTTATTTTATTTGATTTTTCTTTCTTTCTTTCTTTCTTTGGTCTTTCCAGTTACGTTCCTTTATTTTATTTGATTTTCTTTTCTTTCTTTCTTTCTTTCTTTCTTTCTTTCTTTCTTTCTTTCTTTCTTTTATCTTTCCAGTTACGTTCCTTTATTTTATTTGATTGTTCTTTCTTTCTTTCTTTCTTTCTTTCTTTCTTTCTTTCTTTTATCTTTCCAGTTACGTTCCTTTATTTTATTTGATTGTTCTTTCTTTCTTTCTTTCTTTCTTTCTTTCTTTCTTTCTTTCTTTCTTTCTTTGGTCTTTCCAGTTACGTTCCTTTATTTTATTTGATTGTTCTTTCTTTCTTTCTTTCTTTCTTTCTTTCTTTCTTTCTTTCTTTCTTTGATCTTTCCAGTTACGTTCCTTTATTTTATTTGATTGTCCTTTCTTTCTTTCTTTCTTTCTTTCTTTCTTTCTTTCTTTCTTTCTTTCTTTCTACACTCTCCTGTCTGTATTTTCCTTCTGATTTTGTTTAAATATTGATTTTTCTCTTGTGATCTTTTTCGTCTCCTTTCCTTTCATCTTCCCTCTTATTCTTTCTCTGCTTTCATTTACTTTCACACATACTTTCTTCCTCTTTTTCATTTCTTCCTTTCTCTCTCTCTCTCTCTCTCTCTCTCTCTCACTCTCACTCCTGACACATCTTTTATTTACGATATCCGTAAGAGAATATCAACAGTTCCATTAATTTAGTCATTTATATCCAACATTAAAAACAATTGAGAATACAAATCAGACGATTCAGGAGACATAGTAGATTGTATGATCTACAAGATCGTTAGGGTGACATATAGATTTTTTCAGGGCATCTCTAGACCAAGTGAACTAATTCTGCAATGATCATCTCCTCTCCAAGAAAAAACAGACGTTATCAGCTGCGGGTTGGTTGTTCACTACGCATTTAAATATTTAAACAGTTCCATAGGTTCATACATTGGGACAATAGTAAGCATATCCACTCGACATATTTACTTTAAATAATAAAAGACTAAGATCAGCCCAATGATATGCCATGTGAGAAATGCATAAATAACTTTTAGATACTAAAGAGTAAAGTCGATGAATTAAAGAGGAAAAGCTCTTAAACAACGCGTTTCGCCGACGTGACGTAAAATGCAAATTACAAATCGGAGATACCAAAATAAAACAATTATAAAAATTTAAATATCTGAAAAGTGTTTTAACAAAAGACGGAAAGCGCAACACTGATATCCTAAGGCGGAGTGGAATAGCAAAAAATGCATTTCAGAAGCTAAGCAGAGTATTAAGAAACAGAAAATTTCGTTAAAAACAAAGAAAAAAATTCTGAACTCTTACGTGATATCTGTCCTCTTCTATAGCAGTGAATGCTGTACGATCTCCTCAAAGATGAAGAAGAGACTTGAAGCAACAGAAATGTGGTTCTACAGAAGGATGCTGGGGATACAATGGACCGAACGTATGAGAAACAAAGGAGGTTTAAGAGAAAATAGGAATGAAAAGGAAACTTATAGTAATTTTCCAAGCGTAGCTTAGATGTGGCACAAGGCCGAAATTATGGGGCACCCAGTGAAGATCGAACTCACTACTCAGTCGTAATTGTTCTAGCGAGAACAAGCTTGTTAACCACTACACTACCTTAGGGCGCCCATAAAAGGAAACCTATATTTAGCATCAGGAAGAGACAATTGAAATTTCTGGGGCACATTATGAGGAAGGAGGGCTTGGAAAATCTGATACTCCTAGGAAAGATTGAGAACAAGAGAGACAAACAGCGCATGATAATTGGTGTAACAGGATTTAGAAGAAATAACGAAAAGACAATAGTTATTAAGAGCCACAAAGGACAGGAAATTTTGGGGATCCGTGATGGCCTACGTCATAAGGGGACACGGCACAGAAAAGAAGAATTTCGTAACATTTTGCTCTTAAATAGTTTCCAACAGTTTGTCACTTTGTGGATTAATTGATTGACTACCGTATATACTCGTGTATAAGCCGACTTTATGTATAATGCGACCAATGATTTTTTACGCGAATTTTAACTCCTTCAGAAATATTTACCTGTCTATAGTGCAACCGGTCACCGAAAATTCATGATTTTTAACTATTTAGAAAAAATTATCAGAGTATAGAGCGCCCCACTATTTTTAGCGTAAAAACTTAAAAAAACTTTCACTAAATACGGTAAATGTTTTTTCCTTTTAGTCTGCTATATCTAATAAATATCGGCAAATTCTGTTTGCCCGTCCGTCCGTATGTCTGAAATCCCTCTAAATGGTGCCATATTATACCGTTTTGGAATCAGGATGATTATGGGATTGAAAATCTGCCCTTCATCTGGTGCTTGAACATTCAGCATTGGGATTGTGTCCGGATGAAGAGGGATCAGTTAAAAATTAAAATTTTAAAATAATTGAAAAAAATTAGTAATTTTGAATTTTTAAAATTTATATTGTGTTTAAAACAATGCAAAAACCTTGTGAATTAAAATTGTTTTGAATTCAGTACAAATATCTCCAAAAGTCTGTGAATTGAGGAAATCAATTTTATTTCTTCAGAATGCCAAGGAATCAGAATTAAAGTGAGAGGTTTTTTGAAGTACCACGGAGTTTGTGATTTGAAGAACTCAACTCAATTTAAATTCCACGGATTTTGTCATCTGAATAACTAATTTTTCGCCTGAATTGGAAATTTGTCCCAAATTGGACTTTAGGCCCAAATCAGTCTTTTGGCCGGAATTGGACCAATAGCCCGAATCAGAGTTAAAGTGAGGTTTTAAGATTCCATGGAGTGAATTGAGGAATTCAAAGTTATTTCTTCAAAATTATCATTGCTGTTTTCTGAGCTAGACCAGAGGTCTATTTAGTGTTGACCCGGAGGCCCAATTAGCCTTCTGTGGGATCTAGATTTGAAGCTAGTATCGAATAAAATGGAAACAAGTTAGAAAATATAATAACAGATTATGCAAAGAAATCGTACATAAATACAGGAACATATTTACTAAAGACAATAACGACGAATTACAAAGTCATTTAAAGCATACAATCATGTCAGAGCAAACATTTGAAGACTAAAACATTTATGGTTTATATATTAAATGTTGTTTGATTTATTTGTTAGTTTAATGGCACATCAACTCTTTATGAGCGATTTAATGTCGAAGTTTAATTTTCTTTGGAGGTTTGAACAAATAAAAATATGATATATGTTATTCTGCTTTCACAATTAAATATATGGTAGATGATACAGTGTGGACATAATTATTAGAGGCGGTGATATGTGTGTTTTATGTTCTAGTTTTGTTGAAGTTATATTTTGAAATACAGTTTGATTTCTTTAAGAAATTGTAGGATATATGGATTAATTATAGAGATTTTATATCTAAACTAGCCATATATTTGTTTTTAATGTCTATGTTTTTTAATTTGTTTAGGAAGTCACCTGAAATTTTTTTTATGTGTCATGGACTAATAGTGCCGAGAAGTGGAGTTAAAATTCTGCTTAATTTGCGGGCTAGTTTATGTGGGGCGCGGGCTAGTTTATGTGGGTTACGGCCTATCCCTGTTATGATAGGTTTCATTGGTATGTTCAAAAATGTATATATGAAAGTTCTTTCATGTTGGTTGTTTGTTTAGTTGATATTGTTTAGTTGCATATCAACATCTATTGGTTACTTAATGCCTAAAACTAAATAATTTGAACGCATTTGTATGACTTCAACTACAGATAAAATAAATTGCCGGTTATTTTGCTTTAAAACGTATTGTTGTTCATTTAAGAATAAATATGTATTGTTGGTAATTTTTTATATAAAAATATATTGCTGGTATTTTTACTATAAAAATGTATTTTTATACTTTCACAGTGTTTTGTTATGGGAGCTCATTATTTGCCCAATCAAAGACCTTGCTGCCGGGTGCAGGTCATTGTCATAGCCAGGACTTTATTACATGTTCTGCACAATTAACATGGCTTTTTGTGGGGAATCATTTACACCATTACAAAGAATAACAAAGGTGCGATTGTCAAAAAGGATAAGTATTGGCCAATTTCACGTCTGAAAAATATGGCTTACATAATTAGTTAAGGTAAATAGGCTTGTTAACAAGAGTAAAAACAAAAAAAAATCGATATTAACAATCCAACGGGAACATCTATATCGATAATTGCTCCCACCCTATCAGGATAGACGACGTACCCTTTATTACACGCCTAGGTCACGGATAATCGAGGTGATCTTCCTTGCACATCTACTTACCCATCTGTTTTCCCAGTAATAAGAGACAGGTATTTCGTTAGAAAAAAATAAAAGTGTACTGAACTGTTATGTAGTATCAATCCTCCTATATGACAGTGAATGTTGGACCATCTACCCACAGAAAAAGAAGACACTTGAAGCAACAGAAATGTGGTTTTACAGAAGGCTGCTGAGAATACCTTGCAACAAACATTGGACGAAGTTCTAGAGACAATGGCATAAAAAAAACAACACTTCTACTTAATATCAGGAAGATACAGTTGAAATGTTTGGCGCCCATAATGAGGAAAGAGGATTTGGAAAATTTGATACTCACAGGACAGATTGAAGGTATAAGAGCCAAAGGGAAGCAAAGAACAACTTACCTAGTGAGATTGAACGAATGGATGGAGGAGGGGTTGTTTGGAAGAGATGGCAAAGAGACAAAAAAT